TAATCAATGTTATTTTGTGCCCGAGCAACAATTAAAAGGCCACGAAACAGAACTATACGCAAACTTGACTCGCCTTACAATGCACACTTTACAATTTGCAATTCTCTTCTCTTCTCTGATTTCAGGCCGCCCATCAAACGTCAGTCGGCTGAGGCGGAACGAAAACTTTCGAAATTGAATTTGTTTTTCAATTAAATTGCCATAATTGAAATGGCGGAAGACACACAGCAAACGGCACTAGAAAAAGATTCGGGGATCGAGAATCTGGCATCGAGAGCTCATTCGAAATGTGCATTATGAAAATGTGCAGCAGCAGTGAAAACTTTTGGCTCTAGGCGGATGTTCTGAGCATTTTCGTTTCTAGATAATAGCAGCAGCAGGGTGTGGCCCGTCGGCCAGGTGGTTGAATCTGACTAAGCCGCCAGCGACTCCCCAAGGTGGGCTGAGGCGAGCTGTCAAAACTTTCTGCATTGTTATTGTTGCAGCTCGAGAAACTTTTGGCGTCGCAACTTTGCCACTGCAACAAATGGTAAAATACAAAGTGAAATAAAAAATAAAAAAATAGACACAACGAGCGAAAGTTTATGCGGCAAACGAAAAGTTGGTGTAACAGCTTTAAGCGCTTTAAGTTTTGCCAAATGCCAAAGATTGCGCATACGCAGTGTTGCCCTTGCCAAAAGTCAAAGTAGCTGCACTGCCAGGTCAATGGAGCCGCTGCCCTTTAACGTTTACCCACCCCCACAATATCCGCCGGCCGCAAGGTCAAGGCATAGGTCGGCCAACGGTACAGTGTACACCGTGCTTATCTAGCTCGGCCATGTATGCAAAATTTGCGACATCCATCAAACGCTTAGCCAAAATCCTGGCGCATAAGCAAAAATTGTGATTAAAAGTGTGTTTTTATGAAGCATTGAGTCGTGACCCGGGGCAATAAATGGAGCGCGGTGCCTCCGTGTATAAATTAGCACGACCCACAACTCCGGCAATAAAACGCTTTCGGGCGACGTATACGTAGCGTATACGCAATACAAGCCACACTCCGCCCTGCCCCAAAGAGAAAAGTAGGCAACCGAATGACACGCGCCAGCGGAATTTGTAGAAAGTCGTAAAACGAAATAAACACTTTAAGGCGCAAAGTCATAAAAACACCGAAATAAATTCAGAGCCCAGGGGCCAAGAGGTGTTGCGAGTGTTATGAGTGGTGCGGGCGAGTGTGAGTTGGGTGTGCGCTCCACTAAACTTTCAACTACAGCTCCGGGCGACATTTTGTGTTAGTTATTGGGCACACTGTTGACAACTGTTGCTTGCGGGGGGGCTGGGGCGCTGACTGGGGCGCAGCTGCAGGTTTCTCAGCTCAGTTGGTTACGCTCTGCAAATGAAATGTCAATCTGTGAATCCGGCAGCCACTTAAAAAAAAAGGAACTTGCTAACTCACAAAAAAAGACCGTCCAAATGTAACTGGCATTCAACTGGCTCGCAGCTCGCACATCGGGCATTTATCCAGCCATCAATCAATCAGTGCGCTTGGCCCGCCTGATGGCCAATGCTGCTCGTCTCCTTGGCAATCGTCATGCAATTTATGCAAAACGTTGACATTTATCGCCGAGCATTTCGAGTCCTCCGCACTCGGCTTATTTGACTTTTAGCTCTGCCCAAATGGCACGAAGAGCGACGTCAAGTGTAAATGTACGTAAATTGTATACAAACATTTAAAGGGTCTCAAAGGCTTTAGCAACTGCATATATACATAAGGGATATGTCAAAGGACTGCCACTCCCACTGCTGCTGCCGCTGCTGCTGCCTTGTTGACTTTGCGTAGGCCGTATTTAAGGCCAGATTTTGAATCAGTTTTAAGTCCGCTTTAATTCAGCTGAATATTTTTGCCATTATCTGCATTGAAGTAATCTGTTTGGATTTCGTCAAGGAATTAAGGGAAACTTTTCAGACATATATGCTTTTATCAAACAGATGTTAAAGCTAATAAATTATACAAAGGAATAAATAGAGAAAAGTGAGAGAGAAAAGTGTAAATAAATAGCAATTTCTCTTGAATGCAATGAAAACTGATTTCAATTGTGTCAAGCCATAAGCGCAGAGGCTTTTTTAAATGACGCTTTAATTGGAGGTAAATGTTTATTTAACATTCATTTGTGATATTTTTTTTTGTAAATCGAACACGCGCTGAATTGTAAGTGAATTGTATTTGTGTTTGCATTTGGTTTTTTATTTGTATTGAAATTTTAATTGTTTGCTCTGGCTGTTGACACTGATGGTTGTTTGTGTGTTTTGCTTTCCTTTTCTCAACTTCTCTGTGAATCTTTGTGGCAAATAATTGAATTGCGAAAGCAATTACAAGAAATCTGTTTGTTTAAGCAGCGGCATCAGCAGCAGCAGCAGCAGCAGTAGCAGTAGCAAGTGCAACGGTGCGTATGAGTAATGCCCAATAGGGCATCCCATGCCGACGGCCCCATTCGCCATTCGCCACACTCTGGCAGCACGAGCGATTCTTTGTTCAGCGATTATGGTAATGAAGGGGCAACTGTGGTATGTTTTATGCAACGCTGGACTGATTTAGGCCTAAGTCCGCTCAGGCCGAGGGACTCAATCGACTCTTGTTATGCACGGCACGTCGCAGACCAATTGTATACATACCTATACCTATATACATGTATATATCTACAGAGAAATATAAATTAAAGAACACGCAACATAAAATAGGTCAACTTTCTGCAAACGAAGCGAAACGATAAATGATTCAATTAAAGTACGCAAAAAGTCAAACGAAGCAAGGAAGTTCTCATCGCAAAAGAAATTGCATAAAAAATCGAAGTGATTTTAATTGAGGTGACCAAAAGAGAAATTCAAAGAATCTGCAGTACGACACCCTAAGGCGTTTCGCATGCCTGCCACGCCCCCTAATGTCATAGACATCAATAAAGAGTTTGGCAAAGACAAAAAGCAATCGATGTAGCAGATCAAAGGAATGCAGCCCTGTATCCGATTCTCTAGACTGAAATGGGCGCAGCAATGCGGCCTCTAAATATAACCACATATTACTGGCACGTGGCATTTGCTTGGCATATTTATCATGCCATTTGCTGTTTGCCATTTGCCAGTTGGGCGGGCTGCAAAACACCAAAGTCAATGCCAATAGCAATGACAATGGCTCGATTGGAGCGCCTTGCCCCGCCCCGCCCCTCCACCTGCCTCTACGGTGCGTGCCGAGCACAGTAGGCGCGCGAGCACAATTCAAGCCTTTCGTTGACTTGGAGAGTCACAGCTCCTGGGCCCCGTTGCCGGAAAACTTGGCACGTGCGATCAGCATGCGCAGGGCAAACAAAAGTGGAATTGATTGCGTGCCAGATGCTGAAAGGAAATGAGCCAGAGGCTTGGGCAAACCTCAGGCATAGGCTCACGGGCGGTGGGCGAAGGATGGAGGGCGTGGCAAAGTGAATGAATGAATTCCGTCGCTGTGCGAGTCAGTATAAATAAGTATATTGTAATTAAAATGACGACAGCAGCTGCTTTTAATAAACTGCCAAAACAAATGAAAACCGAAAAAATAAA